CTTGGAGAGCTAACTCTATTCACTCCACTCTGATCTGGCTAGACCCGAACGAGAAAGTGCTAGCACTATTTGTTCCAATGGCTTGACCCGAACGCTTTTGGAATGAAAAGTGTCAAAGGAGCTAAAAGCGTTGTCAAGCCGAACTCACCCATTAAGCGTTTTCATCATGCTCCGGTTCAACATACCGCAGTTACAGAACGGTATCGGATTGGATTGGATTTTCGCTCATTTCTGCCTGTCAGGGCCGGATTAAGGGGGGCCGAAATAATGGGGGCCCCAAAACGCCACCTCACACGGGGAAGAAATCATGATGCATATTGGCGAAATTCCTGTACCAATAGATGGCGCTAAATTACGCGAAAAATGGCAATAATATGTCTGCCGAACTCATGGCCGTTTGCACCGACAATTTTAAGGAGAGCTTAACGATAAGTATTCCTTAAAGTGACATTTTTACATGTAGAAATGTCATTTTAAGTTCTTCGTATCGTTAAGCCTCCTTTAAAATTGTCGGTGCAAACGGCCATCAGTGAACAACAAAGCCAGTTTTTTGAGGTTAGTTTTTGTTAAATTGTGTTTTATAGCGTTTTTGTGATTTATATAACAGAAACAATACATAAAAGGAATATTATTCTGTGGAAAACTGGAAACTTCCAGAAATAATGCCAGGGGCCAAATGCGATCTTGCTTTGTTGTTCACTGAGTTTTGAGTACCAAAGTTGATCATAGATGTCGCCTACTTCGGGGACTTTCGCGAATAATTTTACAATTTCGCTTTCGGCATCTATTATCTATCAATTATATCGAATACAACACTACAGGCTGTGACTTGGCCAAACATAAAACTGGTACGCATTTTCCTATTGTGTTGTATTGTGTAAATCGGCCTTTTTTATCACCTTAACAATGACAAAAAGAGTCAAGTCAGTGTCATATTTGAACCAATCATAACATAAAAACAGGTTTGACGTTGACAAAAACTGTCGGACTTGAGTTTTTCAGAACAGACTTTTTGTTGTTAAGCCTGACTCACACTAGGCAATTTTCAAAATATATATTGCCTGTACCAGTTTTATGTTTGGCCAAGTGTATATTATTAGGTGACAGGTAGATGTAAATGCATATTTTAGGTGGGTTCGGCTTGCTCACTCCGTGCACTCCGAGTGACTCCATTCGCGCTCTAGCCGTTCGGGTATTGCTTTTTACCGTATTAGGAGTGACTCCATTAGCTCTGTTCACTCCACTCCAACTCCGCGCTGAATAGCCGAACCCAACTAAAATGTGTGCATTTCTTGGACATTAATTCAGCATCATATCAAATTTTCAGGAAAATTGACCGAATCCCCAAATCTCATAAGAGGTGTGCGGGGTCCTTTTAATTACCACCTCTCCTGTATTGTATTGTTTGTTCTGTAAGTAAATAGAAAATTCACATTTTTTTTACCCTGCAAGGTAAAAGTTTTGGATGACGTTTGAACTTATTTCAGGGGCCCCTTTTGTGAAAATAGCCCCGGGCCCCAAAAGACCTTAATCCGACCCTGGCCAAACGGCGAACTGCTAAGGAATTTGCTGCTTTGCCAAACTTGACGGAAACGATAATAATCAAGTTGGTGACATATTTTTTTTGCTATGTAGGCATGTGTGGCATTTTAAAAAAGAAAAAAAACCGGCAACATTGCGAAATGATGGATGTGGTGAGGCGTGATTATTCAGAGGCATGATTCTATTGGTTAGAGCTTAAGGTTAGAGCCTGAACGACAGCACAGTGACGTGGTTATTTGCGAAACTTAAAAAAAAAATTCTAATAATTTTATTGGTTCATTTCCTTGGTGTTTGCGGTGCCACTGAACTTAAAGAAATGGCTGTCATCAAGCGATGTCAGTTGACTGTTGAGGTGTCAGTGAATATTTTTAGGTTACGCCCCACTTTCGTCTCTATCAACTTACCGCTTGCCAGACTAAAAACAAACAGCTGACAACTTAGTTATGACGTCGGCAATGGTTCAAAATCAATATGCTAGCGATTACCAAAAACGAGACCGATAACCAGTGTATTCTCCTTGCTCTCTAGTAACTGCACCAAAATTTCACGTATATCTTGAAACAAAATGTCCTTATTTTCATTTTAACTTCAATTGCTTCCATAGATTAGGTAGGTAGAAATCATAGAGGTAGAAACTTAAAATAAAATTAACAAACGCACAACTTTCTATATCTGTCACAACTTTGCCGCTTTCAGTTGTTTACAATTCTAGCTAGTTAGAGAAGTGACATACCATTTCCTACCCCGGTTACAAAGTGACGTCATCGATACCACTCGAATTTGTGCAGTATGTTGCGGTAAGTTAAACCGGAGCCACGTGAAAAAGCGTTAAAACTCATGACGTCACAAAATGAACTATGGTTCGTCCTTGGATAAACTATTGATGAACTATATTCGTCGGGAAAATTCGGTTATAACGGCTGTTCATTTTGTACTTGCTACCTGCTCGAAAAATCAGGAAGATCTAATAGGAGCTGCTATTTATGAGTTTATTATATGAGAGTTATGGGACAAGTGAATGCCGATCAGCTGCTGAGATCTGCTTGAAGCAAGAAGACCAGTACAAATGAACAGCCTTTCGAAAAGTCAGGGCCGGTATCGAGTTGCATCTCGTTGTCGAATCATGATTTTAAAATCTCCCTGCTGTGAACTTACGAATCGAATACGACTCTAGCTGTTATTTCAGGATCTTTCGAGCTGAATTCGGCTTGCAATCTCAGTGCACTCTAGTACTCCGTTGGCACTCCAACTCCGACCACTAGGATATATAAAGTATGTTTTTTTTTTTTTAAAGATAATTCCCCAAGTCAAACTATGTTGGCAACACAAGCCTTTTCTACATAAAAAATTTGAAAACATTGACAATTTTACATTGTATTGCCAACATAATGTCATTTTGACTTTTATCTTTAAAAAAAAATATTGGACCAATAGGAATACTTCCGGATCAACGGATTGATGGAAAAACGGATGCATGAAAAGTAAGCTTTATGCCTCATTCTCGCTTGCGCGAAATTAGCTCTTTCTTTGACATTGCTACGACAATTTGACGTTTTCTGCATGTAAAATGTCAAATTAAAAAAGAGCGAGTTTTGCAAGTAAGCTTTATGATGATACACACTACTATACTATATTATACTACAGGATAATCTATCCTCATAATATGGCCTGGGTGGAACAAATTGCCCCCTTCCCTGCCCCTCAAGCCAAATCACCAGTTGTGACGTAGATCCAACCTTGAACATCGACTATGAATACGGGCCTATAAGGAACTCCTGAACTGCTCTAGAGCGCCCTGGACGGTTTATATTTTTTAGTGCAACTGAACTGTTCGTTTTTCCTCTCTCCTGCGCTCTCAAGCACCTGAAATTTCATGGGTGTATCTAGAGATAGGTGCATCAAAAACACGGATGCCTAAAAGTATAGGGTGCGTTCCAGTGACATAATAATTGTTTGGGGCACCAGAGTGTGAAGCTACGAGTGTGGGAAAAGCGGCTAAGATTGCTCATCCTAATAAAGCGTACGCTCGCCAGTACTCGAATCGACAGCTGGTCTGCGTGAGACGTAGAATATTGACCCCAAATTTTCGCACAAATTTTGCCAATCAGGCCGTATGATTGTTTATCCATTTATTTTTTAGATCAGTGATTTAAATGGTTTGATTTAGGCTTGAGCACTTCAGGTGCAATAAAAAACACTTTTTTGAAAGCGCCTAATGCCCTGGAATGACATCGATGCAATCAGGTTTGAAACGATCTTATGATCGTTTGCACCGACTATTTTAAGGAAGCCTTATTAGCAATAAGTTTTCCTTAAAATGACATTTTTACATGGAGAAATGTCACTTTAAGGAATACTTATCGCTAAGGCTAAGGACCATTTTCTCTATTTTTGCTCCAAAAGGTGTTGGTATACTGATTTTTCTCACAGATGCAATTACCGAACTCATCCTTAATTTAACGTTCTTTTTACTCTTCATTATTTTTGCCATCGTTTTTCCACTCGATAGTTGATGAAGAAAGAAAGAGGAAAATCACTGACATTAAGATCATTTCAAATCTGGTTGCACCGTTGTCGTACATAACGTCACCGTTGTAACACGAAAATGGAGGGTTCAAACCAGTTTAAAAACATTTTTAACAGAAAAAGACGTCTAATAAATTGAAAAGGTAGAACCCACGATTGGATAGTATCGTCTCGTCTATCTATATTCATATAAGTTTAGGCGATACTATCGAATCGTAGTAGGTTCGAAATCCGGGCCCAGTTCTTTGCTCCAGGTTCAACAAGAATCAGTTCCGGTTCTAGATCGATCCTGAACTAGTTTAGGATCAGCGTACGACAACCCTGATTCTAGAGCCGTTTATTATTGGCGTCAACTTTTTTTGACATTGGTTCAAAACAAAGCAATAGATGTTTCCATTGACTGTTTCAAACCGGTTTTGAACCAATGTCAAAAAAAGTGGACGCGAGAAAACGGCTTTAGATTAGAATTAGTTCGAAACTGGTTCGGAGTCAATCTATTCCGTTCGGAATTTGATCTGTAATCTAGATAAGTTTTTGATCGTGGGTCCAGAATAAACATCAACTTTTACGCCTAATTACATGATTTACATGTTTCTAATAGTTTTTCCGTACTTTGCGATATTACAAATAACCGAAATCGTTTGAAATGTCGTATGGTATGTCTGGTTCCAACCGTCACGTACTAGGAAATTTTTGTTTACAACTATTAAGTTGGCAGCCTGAAAATTTTTACCCCATCTGACAGCCGAACTGTCAACAGTTCTTTTTATGGTTGAATCGCCCAGCTACCACGTGTGTTACAATCAGTTTTTTTGATTTTAAAGCGAAAAAACAGTCAAAAAAGTGAGTTTTATGCTTCTAAAACGTTCCACAAACGATCGTTTAACGTATAAATTGTGCCCACTAACCACAGGTATTTTGTTCGGTTTTAGATGCCTCCAGCAGTCGACTTATTGCACCCCAGCCCGGAAAACCAAAGGAGGGCCCACAAAAAGAAGCGTTTGGTACAGCATCCGAACAGCTACTTTATGGACGTTAAATGCCCGGGCTGTTACGCCATTGCGACAATCTTCTCACACGCCCAGAGCGCTATAGCATGCAAGGGTTGTTCCACCATCCTGTGCACATCCACCGGAGGCAAAGCTAGATTAACAGAAGGATGCAGTTTCAGACGTAAACAGGATTAAATTCAATAATTATCTTATAATTTAAGCTTTGTTTTTAATAAATCCTTAATGTGATCCAAAGGGCTATTAATGTTTTTGTTGGGAAAATTTGATTACAATATTGCACCATTCATTTTTTGAGATCCTCAAGAAATAGGAATGTGTAGTAGCATAGACTTAAATACTACGAATAGACGTCCAGTCAAATGGTAAAAATCTGCGACGCTATTTGGAGGCTCCAAATTCAATTCAGGCTTTGGTATTTTAGATGCTGGATACGAGATGGCGCGCATTTCTGTCATAATTCAAATTCGCGCGTTACGCTGTTGCCAATAGTTCTAAAATAACTAGTCCAAAATCATTAAATAGGCCAAACCATACATTAAGACACCAATTTTTTTTTAATACTGCATCTGTTTCGGCCACTCAAACCTTTTTGTGTTTATTCCTACGTCATCAATGTTCCGTATCGAAGCTTGGCAGCATTGTGCTGTGACTTGTGAGCCCGGCTTAAAGCACGAAGGAGAGAGAAAAAAATACACAGCTGGAACGGAGAGAAGCAGCACCGCCGTACAAGAAACAAGCAGCTTTTATAAAAAATAATTTTTTCATCTAAAAATCAAATAGTAAATGTCAATAAACCAAGTATTCATCATCACCATCTGCTAGTCCATTATTTCAAGATCAATCAAAAAGAAATACAGTCCAAAACACATGGACATTTTTTAAAAAAATTGGAAAATTTGAAATGTTCAAAAAATTCAAAGCTTTGAAATAAAATCAAAAAACATTTGAAAAAATCAAAAAAGCCCAAACTAGAAAATATAGATAAAAAAAAAATGTAAAATTCAAAAAATTGAAATTTAAAAAAATTCGAAAAAACTGAGTTCTAGAAATTGGAAAAAAATGACAGGTTTAAAAAAATTTGAAGTTTTAAAAAAAGCAAAAAACATTTGAAAAACTCAAAAAAACTGAACTGGAAAATATGGAAAGATTTAAAAAAAATTGTAAAATTCAAAAAATTTAAAATTTTAAAAAATTCAAAAAAATTCAAAAATTTGAAAATAATCGTAAAATTTAAAAAAATTCAAAAAATTGAAAAATCCAAAAGAATTGAAAAATTCAAATAAACCTAATCTAGAAAATATGGAAAGATTGAAAAAAATTCAAAAAATTTACAAAAAAAAGTCCAAAAACTCAAAACATTTTTGAAAAATTTAAAAAAAATAAAAAATTCAGAAAGTTCAAAAATTCAAAAAAATATAAAACTTTGAAAAAATCAGAAAACATACATATTTGAAAAATTCAAAAAATCGTAAACTGGGAAATATGGAAAGATTCAAATGTAAAATTTGAAAAATTAAAATTTCGAAAAAACTGACAAGTTGTGGTGTCCCATGGCAATAAATAAAAGACTTGGTGCTGAATTAAAACTCCTTTAATACGATACAACTTGTCCACTTGTCGTCGCCAGAGAGAGAGAGAGCCTCCCTCCACGTTCTCACTCTCTGACGTCATCGTGCCGACAAAGAAGGGCGCTGCTAATTACCGGCTGGCAAATACAATGTTGCCGACTTTATTTATTAAAATCAAATTAACAATATATTCCTAAATATAACACAGGTCATTTCGCAGCAACCTGCTACAGCCAGAGGAGTTCCCCAAACTCCAGAGGGTGGCAAAACTAGAAAGCCCAGCCACCCTAGCGCAGTCGGGCCCCCGAAACAATAAAATCGTGCAGATCTCAGTGGAAGCTCAAGGAATGGAAATTAAGGCAGTCATAGACACTGGTGCAGAAATGAACATTTGAAGTGTTATAGGCTTGTGAGTTTGTTTTTGGGATTTTTTAATTGTCAAAAATGTCAAAATAAGTGAAGTTTTTATTATTTTACAGCGTTGCCACTGTTTGTATTTTTTCTTGGTATTTTAAAATTTCGTATTATAGGCTTGTGAGTCTGTTTTTTGGATTTTTTTTTTTGTCAAAAACGTCAAAATAAGTCAAATTTTTATTATTTTACAGCGTTGCTACTGTTTGTATTTTTTCTTGGAATTTTTAAATTTCGTGTTATAGGCTTGTGGAGTCTGTTTTTTAGATTTTTTTTTTGTCAAAAACGTCAAAATAAGTCAAATTTTTATTATTTTACAGCGTTGCCACTGTTTGTATTTTTTCTTGGAATTTTTAAATTTCGTGTTATAGGCTTGTGAGTCTGTTTTTTGGATTTTTTTTTTTGCCAAAAACGTCAAAATAAGTCAAATTTTTATTATTTTACAGCGTTGCCAGTGTTTGTATTTTTTCTTGGTATTTTAAAATTTCGTATTATAGGCTTGTGAGTCTGTTTTTTGGATTTTTTATTTGTCAAAAGTGTCAAAATAAGTCAAATTTTTATTATTTTACAGCGTTGCCACTGTTTGTATGTTTTCTTAGAATTTTTAAATTTCGTGTTATATGATTGTGAGACTGTTTTTTGGATTTTTTAACTGTCAAAAACGTCAAAATAGCTAAAATTTTTATTATTTTACAGCGTTGCCACTGTTTGTATTTTTTCTTGGAATTTTTAAATTTCGTGTTATAGGCTTGTGAGTCTGTTTTTTGGATTTTTTATTTGTCAAAAGTGTCAAAATAAGTCGAATTTTTATTATTTTACAGCGTTGCCACTGTTTGCACTTTTTTCTTGGAATTTTTAAATTTCGTGTTATAGGCTTGTGAGTCTGTTTTTTGGATTTTTTTTTGTCAAAAGAGTCAAAATAAGTCGAATTTTTATTATTTTACAGCGTTGCCAGTGTTTGTATTTTTTCTTGGTATTTTAAAATTTCGTATTATAGGCTTGTGAGTCTGTTTTTTGGATTTTTTTTTGTCAAAAGTGTCAAAATAAGTCGAATTTTTATTATTTTACAGCGTTGCCACTGTTTGTATTTTTTCTTGGAATTTTTAAATTTCGTGTTATATGATTGTCTGTTTTTTGGATTTTTTATTTGTCAAAAGTGTCAAAATAAGTCAAATTTTTATTATTTTACAGCGTTGCCACTGTTTGTATTTTTTCTTGGAATTTTTAAATTTCGTGTTATAGGCTTGTGAGTCTGTTTTTTGGATTTTTTATTTGTCAAAAACGTCAAAATAAGTCAAATTTTTATTATTTTACAGCGTTGCCACTGTTTGTATGTTGTCCTGGAATTTTTAAATTTCGTGTTATAGGCTTGTGAGTCTGTTTTTGGGATTTTTTATTTGTCAAAAGTGTCAAAATAAGTCAAATTTTTATTATTTTACAGCGTTGCCAGTGTTTGTATTTTTTCTTGGAATTTTTAAATTTCGTGTTATAGGCTTGTGAGTCTGTTTTTTGGATTTTTTATTTGTCAAAAGTGTCAAAATAAGTCAAATTTTTATTATTTTACAGCGTTGCCACTGTTTGTATTTTTTCTTGGAATTTTTAAATTTCGTGTTATATGATTGTGAGACTGTTTTTTGGATTTTTTAACTGTCAAAAACGTCAAAATAGCTAAAATTTTCATTATTTTACAGCGTTGCCACTGTTTGTATGTTGTCCTGGAATTTTTAAATTTCGTGTTATAGGCTTGTGAGTCTGTTTTTGGGATTTTTTATTTGTCAAAAATGTCAAAATAAGTCAAATTTTTATTATTTTACTGCGTTGCCAGTGTTTGTATTTTTTCTTGGAATTTTTAAATTTCGTGTTATAGGCTTGTGAGTCTGTTTTTTGGATTTTTTTTTGTCAAAAACGTCAAAATAAGTCAAATTTTTATTATTTTACATCGTTGCCACTGTTTGTATTTTTTCTTGGAATTTTTAAATTTCGTGTTATAGGCTTGTGAGTCTGTTTTTTGGATTTTTTATTTGTCAAAAACGTTAAAATAAGTCAAATTTTTATTATTTTACAGCGTTGCCACTGTTTGTATGTTTTCTTAGAATTTTTAAATTTCGTGTTATATGATTGTGAGACTGTTTTTTGGATTTTTTAACTGTCAAAAACGTCAAAATAGCTAAAATTTTTATTATTTTACAGCGTTGCCACTGTTTGTATGTTGTCCTGGAATTTTTAAATTTCGTGTTATAGGCTTGTGAGTCTGTTTTTGGGATTTTTTATTTGTCAAAAGTGTCAAAATAAGTCAAATTTTTATTATTTTACAGCGTTGCCAGTGTTTGTATTTTTTCTTGGTATTTTAAAATTTCGTATTATAGGCTTGTGAGTCTGTTTTTTGGATTTTTTTTTGTCAAAAACGTCAAAATAAGTCAAATTTTTATTATTTTACAGCGTTGCCACTGTTTGTATTTTTTCTTGGAATTTTTAAATTTCGTGTTATAGGCTTGTGAGTCTGTTTTTGGGATTTTTTATTTGTCAAAAGTGTCAAAATAAGTCAAATTTTTATTATTTTACAGCGTTGCCAGTGTTTGTATTTTTTCTTGGTATTTTAAAATTTCGTATTATAGGCTTGTGAGTCTGTTTTTTGGATTTTTTATTTGTCAAAAACGTCAAAATAAGTCAAATTTTTATTATTTTACAGCGTTGCCACTGTTTGTATTTTTTCTTGGAATTTTTAAATTTCGTGTTATAGGCTTGTGAGTCTGTTTTTTGGATTTTTTTTTTGTCAAAAACGTCAAAATAAGTAAAATTTTTATTATTTTACAGCGTTGCCAGTGTTTGTATTTTTTCTTGGTATTTTAAAATTTCGTATTATAGGCTTGTGAGTCTGTTTTTTGGATTTTTTTTTGTCAAAAACGTCAAAATAAGTCAAATTTTTATTATTTTACAGCGTTGCCACTGTTTGTATTTTTTCTTGGAATTTTTAAATTTCGTGTTATATGATTGTGAGACTGTTTTTTGGATTTTTTAACTGTCAAAAACGTCAAAATAGCTAAAATTTTTATTATTTTACAGCGTTGCCACTGTTTGTATTTTTTCTTGGAATTTTTAAATTTCGTGTTATAGGCTTTTGAGTCTGTTTTTGGGATTTTTTAATTGTCAAAAATGTCAAAATAAGTGAAGTTTTTATTATTTTACAGCGTTGCCAGTGTTTGTATTTTTTCTTGGTAGTTTAAAATTTCGTATTATAGGC